TCGGATATCCGTTTTTCCGGATATCCGTATTTTTTCGAAGCAAAGCAAATACCAAAATTAGATATCCGTAACATTCGAAGCAAATCACAAATACCTTAAAAAACCCGGATATCCGATCCGTGCCCACCCCTATAGGCAAGTATCCACCACTAACACGTTGAAGTTTTCCACAAACAAAATATATATCCCAGGGGTTTTCTAATAGTCAAAGTAGTTGATGATCACCACTTATCCTTTATATTATTTTCCCATCCACTTTTTTTTTCTTTTTCGACCCATTTATTCATCTTTCATACGTTTTTTTTTAATTTCAACAGAAGGTATATAAGGTAGAAAGTTTAATATGGTTTTTCTCAAATTTGTTTACTAGGGAAATCGTTATTTCATTTCTGATATTTAACATTTACAGTAAATAGCCTAAACAATATGTATGTGCATTTGTATTGTTATAAAAATCACACTAATCGAAAAGATGAGATGAAATTGCAAAATTCGTTAAAAAAATTTACAAATAGAGTAATTGGTTCTAACATGAGGCAGGCAAAAAGAGCAACACTCTTATTTAAAAATCAATCCAGATTAGCTGACCTGTACTCTCCGCAGGGTGAAAACACACCTCATCTAACCAAGATCTCATCCGTTCATCTCAACCAAAAAGAAACTAATCTCCACCGTTGATTCACCTTTCTTCCACTCGAAGTTACCAAAAATAACCTTACTCGTCATTGTCACAAAGACTCCATGAACGAAAAAAAAAAGTCCTTTAGGGTTTCTTCAAAAAAATCCAGAGGGAAAAAAAACAAAGACCAATTCTCTCTCTCCTTCTTCTCTTTCCTTTCCATGATTTTGTTTAGAGAGAGAGAGAAGAGGAGATATTATTAGCTTAATAGAATCGATTTTTTCCTGGAAAATTTCGACTTTTTCCCCTTCTTGTGGTGATTAAAAGGTAAGTTTTTTCGCTTCAAATTGAGATGAATTGACTTTTTTTTTTTTTCGACAATCACAAAAAAGCTTCCGCCTTTGCAGAATTCGCTTCACCTCGTGAATACCCAATTCATCCAATTTCAAATCTCTCTTAGGGATTTGGTTCAGTTAACGTTGCTGAATCCTTACTATGTTTACCCTAAAATTCTGAAATTTTGGGATACAAACAAAGCTAATGGATTTGGTGAGATGTTGTGATTGTGGATGCGACTGCTCTCTTTCTCCATCTTCATGGATTCGTTCTGTAAAGAGGAAACACGAAGAGCTCGTGAACGAGAATCTCTTCCATATACCTGAGCTTGACTTGAATTTGGACTTATCTTCTTCAAACGCTAAAGTCCAAATCGAGAATGAATGTGAGCTTCTACGTGAGACCGTTAGCTCACAGCTTGAAACGATTCAAGAGCTTTACGCTGAGCTTGACGAGGAGCGTAACGCTGCTTCCACAGCTGCTAACGAGGCTATGTCTATGATACTGAAGTTGCAGAGGGACAAAGCTGAGATTCAGATGGAGTTGAGGCAGTTTAAGCGGTTTGCTGAGGAGAAGATGGAGCATGATCAGAATGAGCTTTTGGCGTTGGAGGATTTGGTTTATAAGAGGGAGCAGACTATTCAGGCTATGACTTGTGAAGCTCAGGGTTATAAGCATAGGATGTTGAGTTTTGGGGTTGATGAGTCTGAGTTTGATGGGGAGAGGAATATGCTTAGTCGTGACACGAGTGTGATGGAGAATGAGTTTGAGTATGACCTTCATGGGTTTGAGTATCCTCCTCTTAAGTGCAGTTTGAATGAGAATTTAGATCCCCTGGAGGGTGATGGTGATGTTGAGGATGTTGAGAAGTATGCATTGACTACTGATTCACCTCATGGAAGAGAAGATTTAAAGAGTTTGGAACAGAGGATAAGTCAGATGGAGAGGATTCCTAGCTTTACTCCGGCTCATGGTGATGTATCCAGAGGGAGAAATTATTTGGAGAAGATGGTGGTTGGTCAGAGTCCTAGGCGTCAAGGACATGAAAGGAGGGTCTCCACTGGTAGTTCAAGTTCACTTTTGGGGGCAAATAGGGATCAAAGACCTGAGTTTTCCGTTGATTCTCCAAAGTCCAATAACGGTAGCTTCAGGAAAATGGAAAGTGACTTACCAGAGACAGGAGATAATGAGATGGATGATAGAGTCTATACCATTGATTCTGTCCATCAAAGCGTATCTCAGAGTGATGCTTCTGAGGAGAAGTTCAAGGATGACACAGCTGATGATTGCTATGGAGAAAATTTGAATCAGCCTGATCTTAGTGATCCTGGTATAACGAAGCTCTACATGAGGCTTCAAGCACTAGAGGCTGATAGGGAATCAATGAGACAGGCGATTGTGTCAATGAGGACTGAGAAAGCTCAAATGGTTCTTTTGAAAGAAATTGCACAACATCTATCAAAGGATATTATTCCTGAACGGAGATTGCCTCTGCAGAAAGCATCTACTGTTGGAGCATTCAGTTTCATATCTATCTTTAAGGTGAGTTTTTAGTATACCAATCAGTGGGTTGTGATCTTTATATTATATGCTGATAGAAAGTACAAGCAGCTTGTGCTAAGTATTGTGTTAGTCAACTAATTTTTTTCTGATTGTTCATGTGCAGTGGATCACATCTTTGGTTTTCTGGAGACAGAAGGCTCGTCGAAGCAAGTAAGCAAACACACTCTTGAACTTTGATTAGCTTATACTTCACATAGCGTATGATTGGAACCTGAGTTTTGAGTTTGTGGAATTACAAAGCAAAATAACAAAAGACAAAGATCCTTGTACAGAGTTATATACTTATCCATCCTTGATTTCCAAATGGTAAAAAATGCAGGTACATGAACGGGATGCAAGGGAGAAACATGGGGTTGCAAATGCTTCTAGAAAAGACTCCACGGATACGTCAATGGAGATGTCTTTCAAGAACGCAAGTGTGAAACATTATTACATTCTCCAACTCGGTGAGTCAGAAGCGCTTAATGTGAATACTGGGGAGACGGTAGTCCATTACTCTCCATCTTCATTCATGGTTGCTGAGAAGACAAAAAGATGGTTTCTCTGTGTGCAGTTTCTTTATTTCTTTTGCATTTGCCATATTTCATTTGTTGTTTGGTGGTTTGAATGCATAATGTCTTGAATGAGGTTTGATTATTGTCTAAAAGCATCTCTTTATACAGTAAGCTGTGTATAATTTTCCCACATTCTTGTTTGGTTTTTTCTCAGACAAAGAAAACAAACTTCCGGTGATCGGAACTTTGTGTTGTATTTGATTATTGAATGTACTCAAAGTTATGAATCTACCATCCTTTTGTTTTACAAGGTGAATAAAAAGATTATCAAAGTCTAACCAATTTCGGTTTAACCGGTTCGATCCAAGAGATTGTGCATCGAATTATCTTATTCCGGTTTAGTATCTTATGAAAGAGTCACTTGTTTAAACCCAAAACCCTCGCCGCTGATGCTCCTTCACATAGATGCCAAACTACAAGAACTCGCTGCTAGCCACGAAACTTCGTAACATGAGGCGTAGATCCAAATCCAAACGACAAAAGCTCATTCAGAACCAACCTGAGCCTCAAGAGAGGGAAGAAGAAGAAGAAGAAGATGACGGAAACGGGTTCAAGCTCAAAACTTCAGCTAAACACGGAGTCCAACCACTCGGAAACCTCTACTTCATCAACAAAGGCGCCGTCAACGTCAGAAACACCGGTTTAGGCAACCTCCAGGTACTCTCCGACGAGCTCCTTTTAGACATCTTAGCCCTTCTCAACGCGACACACCTCGGCGTTTTAGCTACTGTAACCAAATCTCTCTACATCTTCTCAAACCACGAGCCTCTCTGGAGAAACCTCGTCTTGGAAGAGCTAAAAGGAGACTTCTTATTCACCCGTTCGTGGAAATCAACCTACGTAGCTTCTACCTATCCAAAGTTTCAACCTTTAACTGACTCTGTTTTAAAGATTAGAGATTTTTACTCTGATTACCTCTTTCAGAGTTGGCTATGTGCGAATCTTGAGATGAAACAGGAGTGGCTTGAGAGAGATAATATTGTAAGAGTGAGAGGTATTTCAGTTGAGGACTTTATAACTAACTTTGAGGAACCGAATAAACCGGTTTTGTTGGAAGGGTGTTTGGATGATTGGGGTGCGGTTAAGAAATGGAGTAAAGGGTATTTGAGTGACGTGGCGGGTGATGTTGAGTTCGCTGTTGGTCCTGTTGAGATGAAGCTTGAGAATTACTTTAAGTATTCTGATGGAGTTAGTGAGGAGAGGCCTTTGTATTTGTTTGATCCCAAGTTTGCTGAGAAAGTTCCTGTTTTGGACTCTGAGTATAACGTTCCTGTTTACTTTAAGGAAGATTTGTTTAGTGTTTTGGGAAACGAGAGACCTGATTATAGATGGATTATTATTGGACCGTCCGGGTCTGGTTCGTCTTTTCATATTGATCCTAACTCTACGTCTGCTTGGAATGCGGTGGTCACTGGTTCGAAGAAATGGGTTTTGTTCCCACCGGATGTGGTTCCTCCGGGTGTGCATCCGAGTCCTGATGGTGCGGAAGTGGCGTGTCCTGTTTCTATAATGGAGTGGTTTATGAATTTTTATGGTGATACTAAGAAGTGGAAGAAGAGGCCTGTTGAGTGTGTTTGCAAAGCTGGGGAGGTTATGTTTGTACCTAATGGATGGTGGCATTTGGTGATTAACTTGGAGGAATCTATTGCTATTACTCAGAACTATGTTAGCAGGTAAAAGGTTTCTTTCCCTATAGGCTCTTTAGCTTTCTCATGTCTCTTTCTTTTAAAGAGATTATTTTGACAACAGATAATATCAATAATTTGGCAATGTTTTGGACTATGTTATAGTTTGTTGATTAGCTATTAACACAAGTTTTTAAGTAGCAAAGATCTGATGTAACTAGAATGTCAAAAAGTATATTTAGATGTGTTTTTGTTACATCATTTGGGAGTTATAAGTAGCAAAGATCTGGTGTTCAAAAAAAAAAAAAAAAAAAAAG